ACACACACGCGCGCGCGCACACACACGCGCAAACACCACGACAACAACATCTTCATTCACTCGCAGCGGGAGACCTCTCTGACTGGTGTGAAACTATTCCTCGTTTGGCAAACGACTGACCTACTTGAAAAGATTTGTCTCCGCTCCTGGGTTGGCGCTTTGCTGCGCTCTCTATGTGCGAGGAGTAACTCCGTCGGGAAGCTTGACTTTCCTGATTTGTGGGCCGCCCTTGAGCATGTTAGCCGCGCTTTAGCCCTGCACCAACAGTTTATCCCCGTCCCTCAAGACCGCGGGACAATGCAATTGCCAGCATTGCTTCTGCGTCCAAGCGTTGGCGGTGACCGACATTCCTGAAGTGCGCATCTGCCCCGCCTGTAAGGGCTGCAGATCTCAAGTTCAACCGTTGCAATGCTGTATTTGTCGTCGAGAACATGCCTGATGTGGACGAATTTTCTGAAGCTGCATACTTCTGCTCTCACCGTCCTTGTTTTGCATTAGGGAGTAACTCCTCTGTTGCGTTAAGACTCTTAGCGGGGAGTTGCTCCACCTGCCCCAGTTTGGTGAGACTGTAGCTAGTCCTGATGTTAGCCATGGCAGAGACTTCACCACACGTTTTGGAGGCGGTGAAGTCGACGATGCTAGTGTTTGTGGCTAGGCCCTCAGACGCATCTTTGCTACGCCTTTCGACCTCCTCCGCGTAGGTGGTCCGCTGGTGGCAACTTGGAAAGTTGACGGCGCATCGATAAATGCCCAATGTCCGGCTCGCCCGTGCTGCGTTCAGGCTGTAAAGATGTCCTGTCATGTGCATCCGAAGCAGTACTCTGAGCAGAGATGTGTGGAGCTTGCGAGGGCCGAGGTTGTGTCCTGCTCGGCTGGGGAGTGAGAGCTCGACTGAAGTGTCGACGCGTCTGACGGTCCAGCCATGTTCATTCTTCGACCATCTTGCACAATCGCAAGGAGGCCTCCCATAGGAGTCCCCGGCCTTCTTGTCGGTGCGGACCTGGCCTCCTATTCACGCGAGGATCGCAGAAAGCTTTCCAATTCTGGTGTGAGGCGAGCCGATGCAGACACCTCGTCCGGGGACTCCTCCTTGGCTGACGCTGAGGGAGTATCTCCACTCTTTGCCTTCACTGCAGGGGGAGTGTCTCCTCCATGCGCGTCTAACTGTCTCCTTCTGTTTGGAGGGGGCGGGATGACTCCGCCCGCACCCCCTTTTCCTCCTTTAGCTGTCTGCGGTGGATCTCCTCGATGCGTATGTCTAGTTTCTGACCGCTTCCACTGCCGAAGATAGTTGCGGAAGGAAACAATTGGCAGTCTTTCAGCACGCCTCCTGGCACAGTAGACATTGTAATCTGCCCGACAAGCTGGATCTTGCTGAGACATGAGCCGACGTCGGATTGCTAAACAAGTGGGGCGTGAGCGGCTGAAGCTGGGAGAGCGAGCTGGATAAAACTTGTTGTGAGTCTGTATGAATGTTCGCTTCTCACTGCTCTGAGCCTTACCACAATGCTCCTGATGCGATCCTCCCAGACTGCAGGGCTGCTGAACTGGGTGCCTGGCCGAGACGAGAGTTTCTCCTTCGTCACTGTTGCAGTGAGACCTCATCACAGGTAGCTCGCGAGGAGTTACTCCTTCATTGTGGCACTGACTACTGAGCTCTGGTCATTGCACGGCTGAATCTTCGGAGAACCTGACAATATGTTGTGAAAGAATTTACTTGGAATGTTGGGATGCCGTTCCAAGCTCAACATTTTTCAGAGAGTGCGGCGAGATCTTTCCAAATAAAACCTCTCGTGCTAGTCAACGACTAGTACGGAACATGGAGTGCTTCCCTTCCTTAGGGAGATGACTCCGGGGAGTTACTCCTCCGGTGGGAATTGCTACTCCTCTCGGGGAGTACCTCCTCCGAGGGCAGGGGAGCTACTCCTCCTTATTTCTTCAGCTTTCAGCTGACCCCTGGAGTTTGCTTAGCCGCAGGTCCCACTCTGCGGCCGCAATATTCAACACCTTATCCTCAGAGAAGAATAGCTGTCGCAGGGTGTCCGCCTCCGCCTCATATCCTGCTTTCAGGTCCGCCTGGAGGAAGATACTTCATTATCTCCGTCTTCCGCTGAGCATGGCTGAGGTCGTGGCGGTGACCCGCCACAGAGGAGGTGGCCAGTGGATTATTGGCTCGGGCTTTCTGGCACCCCAGATAAGTCCTGCTGAGGGCAGAGAGGGCTGCTCGCCTCTGTGTCCTTGTCTCGCTCCATTCGTCGAGAACTTTGAAGGTGTCGACGTACGTCTGTAGGTCTCGGACCATGCTAGCGGGGAGCAACTCCGCCACCAGAAGCATTAGCTGTGCCTTCAGCACCATCTTCTTCGTCGTCATCGTCTCGGTGATCTGTGCGAAGATGCGTCCGGGGAGTATCTCCTTTGCGGAGCTTTTCAGCACCTCATAGTGGAACGTTGCGAGCAATGGCACAAGGGCAATAGCCAACTGCGTGGGCCCGAACTCATACGCCATGACAAAGCGGTGGCGAGAAAGAGTTGGATGGGGCACACACTTTTGAGTAAGTCAGTGGCTCAATGTGTGGGTTGCTTTTAAGGCATCTGCAATCTATAGCGGCTGCAAGATTCGCACACCAGCCTTGCGGGAGCGCCTCCTCGCCAGCTGACGAACCTGAGCGGACATTTGGGACGAAGTGGTCTTTTTGGGGCGATATAAGAGTCGCCACTGGGACACTTCTTCCCGACAGCCTGTTGAGAGAATCAGCAGGCATGTTTGTTATGGGGAGCAGCTGTCTCTGCGCTAAGTAGGGAGGCAATGTTACCCATCGTCCCCAAGTGATCTCCAAGCCACCGTGATCTTACCTCTGAGGCTGTGATCGAAATAGGTCCCTGTTCCCGACCTAGCGGGAAGTTGGTACCTGTCCCAAACAATTCTTTGGACAAGCTCTCCAAAGCTGCTTTCTCTTCCTGAGCTGAGAGAAAGAGACCCCTGTTCGTCCCGTAATTGCACCCTCTCTCGCGGCTTACCCGACCTCACGTGACTACCACGGCTTAAGCAGGTGAGTAATTTTGCGCTCAAGCCGCTCCGTCCAAGTTGGCTCACCGGGCTGTTTCAAACCGAGCGGGCGACGCACAGCGTACTCCGGAGCTTCCGCTTCGCACTCAACAAGTTGCGCCTTCGATGTCAGCTTGTTTCACTTCCGGCCTCACAACCAAAGTTATGCGAACGTTGCCAAGCTGTTCTTCAAAGTCCGGTTCTTCCAGCACAAAAGTGTGCTCCTTGGCTCGTAGTGCACACGCACCCTGCATGACGGAAAATCAAGCCACAAGTCGTGCGCGCACGGTTGTCCTGTAGACGGGTCCTGCTTTACAAGTTGCTCAAGCAAAGCCTTCCGAATGTGTTCCAGCGTTTCTGAAGTAGTCTGCTCCAAGCGCGGACGAAAAGTGTCCTCGGTGCTTTGCTCCTTGAGGCCTTTTGTGGGGCTGCTTGAAAAGTGGTTGTGGGGCCTCTACCGAAAGTTCTTTGTGGTTGTGGCATTGGTTTTGCTGGGGCTGGTTGAGGTAACATCGTCTGTTTCCCAACCAGCTTACGACCAGTGGGTTTGGAAATGATTTTTGAAAACAGTCTTCCCAGGAAAGCCGTTCAGGAGAAGGTCCTTTTGGATTCCCGCCTTACGTCAGTTGTCTGTCGAAGTTCTTTTGCTGAAACTTAGGCGTTCGTCTGCAAGGTCCTTTAAGTCTACAGGGCGATCCGTCTTCTTTGCGGGAGAAAAAACGTAGCTCTCGTGCGAATGTGGGTTCGCGTCAAACTGTTTCCCGAGAGCTCCCGTTTATCAGTGTGATAGTAGACACAAATGCGAAAAGTTGGGGCCACTAAGGTACCTTGTGCACTCGTGTTGTGAAAGGTGTTGCACACTACCTCAAACCCTTCCTTGTTGAAAGATGCCAAAGTGGGCCTCAAGAACAGGAGTGAACCATACCTAATGATAGGAACCTTGTGTCCATCAGGTGTTGAAAGTGTGTTCGGATTCCTAGAAGCAGTCTTCCAAAATAGATGCCACCAAATGCTCTTCCAAAGCAACAACCTTGGAAATCGTATTCAAAACCTTAAGTCCGAGATCACGAACGCTGAAAAGTCACTGGTTGTCTATCCAGGCCGGAGGTGCAAAGCCAGAAAACTCACCGAAACCACCAAAGTTGAAGTCTACAACTCCATTCGTCATCCCATCAACGCTGAAAGCGTTCCCCAAACCAAAGTTGCCAAGAACAACATCCGAGATGAGCAAAGAGCTCGGGCTGATGTTCATCTTCGCTTTTGGCTTGGCTTTGGGGCCTGAGAGTCCTGGTGGTCCTTCCACTGTCACAACCGACACGGGCAAAGTTGCTCCGCCGCTGCTAGACGAAGCCTCTTCCTGAGGCTTTTGTGTCAAAGTTTCGGCCTTCGTCGAAGGAGCGGCCTAGGCCACGGTTCCGAACGAAAGTTCGAAGACCAACCCCAAGAATGCATCCCACAACTGATTCCAACTGTTATCACGGTAAAATTCATTCACGGCACTAATAGCCCGTTCGGCCCACTCAGACCAATCGTCAAACTCACCAAAGCAAGTCCAATCACCTTGGTCGTCGCTCTGGTAAAGCTGCTCTTCACCTGCAACAGCTGAAACACGGCAAGTGGGACAGTTGCTTGCAAAGTGTCCTGTCTTGCCGCACGACCAACGCACCGAAGTCGAAGCGGGTTCCTTTCCTCTTCCTTTTCCTTTCATGAAATTCCAATGTTGATTGCCGTTTCCCTGCGACTTCGACAAATCCTCTCCTTTTCCTTTTCCTTTTCCTTTGTTCCTTTCCTTTCTTTCCTTTTCCTTTTCCTTTCCACAAAGCTGCACCTAAAGCACCAATGTCCATGGGAGCCTGAGCTCCACCTGCAAAGGCTGCGTTTGCCGAAGTCTGAGCAACCGGATTCATCAAACGTCGCGAACGATGGTATTCGAGAATAACCGCGCGCGCCGCTGCAAGTCTCAGGCAAGGGAAGCCGAATGCGACAGTACGATGTACTAGAACAGCACACAAACACTACCCTAAAGTAGAGCGTGCACTGCTCACTCACACAAACACACAGCAAACAAGCAAGCAAACAAACAAACAAACACAAGCAACAAACAACAACAAACATGAAACAACACCAGACCACAACAAACAACGAACAACAACGACAGATGAATGACCACGACCACGACCAGGACAACACGACCACACGACCCCACCACCCCGGAGGACGACGACGGAGGACAACGGCGACGTATGTCCACGGCTTGACAACACGACAACACAAAACCGACCACGACCACGACCGCGGAGGAGGACGATGACAGAGCACGAGGACGACGACGACGATGAAAACGACGACGACGTGACCGTAGTATGACCAAGACAACACGACAACACAAAACCAACCACGACCACGACCACGGAGGAGGACGAGGACGACGCATGATGACGACCAGGACGACACGACAACACGCAAACGACCACGACCACGACGACGCCCACAGAGGAGGAGGACGACAACCCGGCCACGACCACGACGACTAATTCCGAGGGCTCCTGCTCGTCCATGGTGCACTCCAACTCCATTCCTCAGCCGGGCCGGTAGGAGAGTGGGGAAGCCACGGCTTAAGGAAGGGACGGAAGGGTCCCTTGCTCCGTGCATCTGAGCCTCTGCCCGCATCCCCCATGGGAGCGCAAGCGCCAGGCCGGGCCGGGCGCTTGCGACAGGAAGCCCCTTTTCTGGGCCAAAGCTGCGGCGGCCAAGCTGGCTCCCTGGCTCCCGCGCATCACACGCCGTGCATCACCTCAGTCGTCCAGCTAAACCCTCCAACCACCCTTTCTTCCTGCGGCTCGACACTGCAAGCACTGCTCAGACGATCTTCTTGAGCTCCTCCGCGACGTACCTCCAACTCCAAAACAGCTTTCCAGACATGCGTCCGAGCGAGGCGCGAGGTGGCGGCTCACCCAGATGCATCTGCTTGACCGGAAGGGTCGATTCTTGCAGCCAGCTTCTGCCTGGGAGCGCCCGAGCATCTCACACAAACCCTTTGTCCTTGCAGTGTCACAGGAACCCCTCTACAACCCCAAGAACCAAATCCTTACGATTCCGTCTTTTTCCCAGTCCATGCGCTTTAAGAGCTGAGGCTTCCGACAAACCTCGGGCGCAGCCACGTCTTTACGGTCGACGGTACGACTCTAAGCAATGCTGGGGTTTCAGGGTTGGGTAGGTAGCCTGGGAACTGAGGTGGATTCTCAGGGTGTTTCAGGTGTTACTTTCTGAGTCGTGGGCTTGTCTGGTGGCAGAGAACGTAACATCCAGGCACATTCCGGCTGCAGCTGGAAGTCGTTGATCAATGCCTCGTACAAGTATCAACGAGTTCGCCCTGTTGACAATCCAATACATGTCTCGTTGGCGCTGTAAGGTAAAAGGCCTCTATCGCTGTTTTCGCAGACTGCTTCACCGGCCGCATCCTTGAGAGCCAGAAGTGTCCGGAAGCCACCAAAGTACCCAAAGCAAAAGAGGGGAAAGCTGTAAGGAGCCTGCCCTCCGTTGTGTCGACCTGACGTGTGCTGAGCTTGATGCCAGCTCCCCACTCTGCGCGTCTCTCAAGCTACTCAGAGTCGCCACTCCCCTGCAGCACCCCATCGTGACCCCTTTAACGTCATGTTTGCAGCTCTCTCTTGGCTTTAAGAACGTCTTGCCAGCTCTAACATCCCGCTGACATTAGACACCCTGATCGATTCCTCTATCGCAGACCCACGAAACTCGGGCGCAACCTCAAAGGCATGAAGTCGCATCCATTGCCACCCGGTTCACCAGTCCCATAAATCCCGGCTCCTAAAGTCGAATGTTCCCCACAGTCCCAAACATCCCCCCTACAAGCCTCTCCTTGCCTGTCCTGGGAGGTCTGGGAGCCTCGGCCTCCTAACCAGACGGCCTCAAAGAACCAAAGCGCTGAGAAGAGGCCCATCTTGAAACCCTGTCGATGCTTGAAAGCTTGTCGATCGACAAGCAACCAAAAAGAGCTGCCAAATATCGAGAGTGTCTCAACCCAAACCTCTCAGCACGTGTAACCCAGGGGTCCAAAGACCTGGAGATCTCAAAGGATTCTTCTTACAGCATTTGAAACCCTCGCACGGTGTTGGCTCTGAGACTCCTGAACATTCGTGCGATGCTCCGGTGCAGGGCCTGCAAGTATCGAGCAAGTCTCCCAACACTTTCAGAAATTCTTGAAGCATCGCGTCCTAAGTTGCCGCCTGTTTACAATGGTACACTCACGTTGTTCAGCCCGTTGACGGTTTGCCCACCCTTCAGGTTGCGCCAGAAGTTTGCATATGTAATATGATACTCGCTGAGCCCCTGGAATGCTTAAGACAACTTTTGGCCCTTTGACCATCCGAAGTCAACTCCACGGGTTTTAGGTGATGAAGGCTGCAAGAGAAGGTTTTGATTCATGCGTTTGGGGCACAAGCAGGGCGTGATTGTATCGTCGTGCCTCAGAGCCAACCTGCCCAATGCGAGGATGAGCCTTTGCCCCCTTCCTGAAGTGTCGGCTTCGGGTTCTTGCCACTCGTTTTTCCTTTCTTTCTCTGCGTGTTCACCAAGCGGCCGTTTGCCTCCGGAACTTCCCCCATCTGGGCCCCCCTTCGGTTGATCGCAGTGTCCATCCGGATCGCCGTGTCGTTCGGGAGAGGGCGAGGTACGCGGTCTCCACTGCGGCTTCGAGTTGCCTGACTTGTATGCCGCCCTGGACGCTGACTAGGGGTCCACGGCATCACATCTTCATAGACTTGATTCTTCGCCAGCATCCAGTTGCCTTTCGCATTCTACTGTAGGTCTTGTTTGTGTTTCTTCAGATGTAAAGGTGGGACGTCCTTTGCAGCATTTTTGCCCCTTTTGGCCGATCGTCGAGGCTCTCTGTACTTCCTTGTCTTCTTCGGGGGCCCGAAGAACTGACGTCGGAGCGCGTGCGGTGGCGGCGAACGAGGTGGCGGCGGACTGCGCTTCTGTTTGTGTACAGAACTGACTGCTGCTGCCGCGCAGGCCCGAGGCAGGTCCGAGGATCCCAGAAAAGGACTTCTTTAGAGCCCTGTCGTGCGATTCCTGCCGCACTCGGCGACGGCTCGGGAGGCGTTTCAATGGGGACCACCTTGCAGGATGTGGTCGATCGGTGGCTTGAAGGCCTACGGCATGCATGGATTCATCTTCATAGCTGCTTGGATTCACCCCTCGGCTGCTCGGCTTGAACCGCTGCTCGACCTTTCGACTTCATCACAGAGCAGCGGGAGCCCAGTGTCGACTGGTGTCCTGTGGGACTTCGAGCCGGGGGCTCGTATCTCCCGAGGATTTTCTCGTTTCTGCGCTCTGCATTCGCCTGCCTTTGTCGGATCGTCTTGGCACCACAGAGCGCACAATGCCGCGGGATGCTTGTGCTCTTCAACGAGGTTGGCCAGGGCACTTGCCCGTGAGCTCCGTTTGCGTCAGGCTGCCAACGTTTCGGTTCAATGGCCTTGGGATTCCTGGCGCGTTTGCATTGTCTCGGGCCCACTTCTCGGGCGTCGCTGCCCTCTCGGAGACCCAGAAGGAATTACAAGACCAGAAAAGATGGAACTGTCCTCCAAGTTTGAAGCAAGTCAACATGCTCTGCCAAATGCTGCTGAAGTGAGATTCAAGATATGCAGTGCAGGGGAATTTTGTAGACTCGATCTATGCGAAGACACGGCTTCTGAGAGCCCTGGTGACGTCTCTTGCCCTTCGTGGGACCTCGAAGGCAGCCGGACCGATCCGCCTCGAGGGCCTTCAAAGCACGCAGCGACTGCGGCAGCGACTGCGGCAGCGACTGCGGCAGCGAGTGCAAGCGCTCGCGCCTGCTTCATACGACTTAGCAGCGAGGAGGTTGGGGTCCTGTCTCGGGTCTCGAAAATCCCGAGACAGAATGTCGAATGCTCACTTTGCCGGCTCCTGACATCCAAAGGGCCGCGCCGCATGACCTCCTGCTGTAGGTGCGGTGGCATGTCCCGAAGGCGATTGGCCACCTAATAGCAAGCTTATGCAAGCTTGAAGCACTTCGAGTTGTATGGTTGTCGTGCGTGCACTTGCGAATCTTGCGAATGCAAGCGCGGCAAAGTGAAGGAGTCTTTTGTCCCGTGGCAATTCGCTTCTCGGGCAAACTATCACGACCTGGCCTGGTAGGACCTGGTAGGACTGGCAGGATGTGGCCACAAGCAACACTTCTCCACAAATGCAGACGTCTGCGCCTGTCAATCCACCTCGTCTTCCGACTGGTCCCCACCTCATGGCACGCAAAGACTGGGCCGTGGCAGAAAGCCATGGCAAGAAGCCTCCTGGCACGACCTTCCACTGCAGCTGCGGCCTGAAAGCAGCGCAAAGCAGCAGAACCCGTGTCCTGCGTGGGAAGGGCCCGCCTCTGCAGCCATTCCTCAACCTGTCTGGCCTCATCCTGCAATGGCACTCTCAACGCGAACATGATGCAACACAAATCTGCACGGCAACGGCCGGTTCTTGCCCGCAGTTGCAAACTGTGCAGCTCAGTTCTCACAACTCAAGATAACAATGCTAGGTTCTGCAACGCTCTTGCGTGCACCGCTGTTGCAAACACATGGTACGGTAGAGCAGAGACAGAAGAGCATTCACTAAATCAATCTCCATGCAGTTCAGCTCTCTCGCTGTGAACCGTGCCAACTGTAATGCGACTCTTTGTTGTTGGCGGTCGATGCTGAGGATGTTCTGCAGGCTGCATCACATGAGTAGGGTCCGTGGTCTTTTGTTCGGCTTGCTGTGTTGACATCCCGACAGCAAGTCCTCGGGTGCATCAGCCAAGTGCCTTGCCCAGCAAGGACATCGTTTCCCGATTTCACCCGGCAAGCTCAGTCACTCGTCATGAAGCCGAGGTCCGAGGGCTCTTGAGGACAAGGGCCCCGGAAGAAAACGCAGGGAAGAAACCGCTCGTATGGGAGGGGAATTCGAAGTCTCAGCGAGGGTGCCTGGCCACGGCCAACGGATCGTCCCAGGCCGCGAAAAGGCTCAGACTGGGCCTCGCAGAGAGGCGCACGCAAGAGAACATCTAGGACTGCAGTCGGATATGCACCGGTCAAGCATCCAGCTCTCCCAGCAGTGCGCGCAGAGCAATACCTTCATCACCCTCCTGGTGCGAAACTGGAGCCCAGTATACGCTTTGTGTAGGCAAGGTGACACCTGGCCTTTGACAGGGCATGCATCTGCGCACTCATGCCACCATACCTCGGCGAGACCGTTGCCTTAAAAACAAGAACGATATCAAGCCATTCGCTTGCACACTGATCCTTCTGTTTCCCCTGGGCTTCTTGCGCATCTGGCACACGCGGATCTGCCCGTGCAGCTAGAAGGTGTCGGCAGCATTCCAAATGCCTCGGGTGGGTGATCGTGAGGACAGACAATACGGCGGCAAACATTGAGAAAAGGCCCTACATGTCCCTTTGCTATGCGCACTGCTCTCCCGCAGCCGCCACATGTAGAGGCTGGAGGCCATCGTTGTCAGCCTAGGTGACAACAAGGCACGAGTGTGCCAAGCTCTACAACGGCAGCCCTGCTTTCGAAATTCCGTGCGAAAAACATCAAACAAATGCTTAGGGTACCCTGACCAAGGCCTGCCAATTTATTATATTGCTCTGCTCGTTTCTTCATCGCTTGTTGTCTTCTGTTCGAAAAACACCGCATTCAGAAACTGTAATTAGGGGGCGACACATGGAAAGACACCCGGGCAATCGAGCCCGCCTGCACTTACCCACTGAGGTATAGCTTTTCTGAAGCATCACAGGCTTTCCAAACATCTCCGATTGTCCAAAACACCACGTCAATCACCTGATTTCAGCAAGCCTTCATAACGGCTGTACAACGGTTCTATAGGCTGGAAACAAGCTCAATAAGGGTTTCATGAGGCTGTATAAGGCATCAAAACCACCAAAAATGAGAAAGCCGACGGGCTAGATTTCTTAAATTCCGATTTTCGGGGGTGGGCGTGCCCAAGGGGCGTTGCCAATAAAGCCAAAATAAAAGCTTCAGTAGCGTTAATGAGCATTATGACGAGGGACAGTAAAGCCTTGTCACAAAGAATCACAAGCTGCCAAGATGAGAAATCCAGGGGCTGGATGTCTTAAGTGTAAGCAATCGAAAAGCTGGGTTTTTCTTGTCGGGAGGTTCTGGCACGCCGAATAAGGGCTCCTTTAAGCATTTGTGATGAACGATATCTTTAGGCTCTTTCAAAGATTTAAAAGGCTTAGCAAAGTTTTGTGTGGATTTCTGATTAAGGCTATGTCATAAAAGATCAAAAACCCCATCAAAGTAAGCAATCCAGCGGCTGGATTGCTTGAAATTAAACAATCGAAGAGCTGGATTTCTGATTTGGGAGGCGGGCGTACCCAACAAGGGCTTAATCATTGCTTCATTCAGCCCATATAGGCATAAACGCTCAATAAGGGCGTTGTAAAGCAACAGCTCAGCTAGCTTACGAGCACGCAGGCGAAACGGACGCTGTTTTGTTGCATTGTTTCTGCTCGGAGTTGCAAATGCCTGGCGGGCAGGAGAGCATTTTGGTGGTGCCAGGCCACGTAGACGATTTTCTTTTCGCAGCATCCGATGCCAGATGCTGGCTGTGGTAGCCTCGTTGGACCAACGGCAGCCGGGTTCGGCATGGCCGGACCGTCGTTTGTCGTAGTAGGCAGTACTGCAGGCAGCTCCACACAAGACAGCCTTGCCCTCTGCCGGCGCTTCCTGATACATGGCGCCCGGGTGCCAACCTTGAACCAGATGATGCCTGGAAAAGACGCAATAGCTGGCCACGCCAATGAGCTCGAATGTTGTGGGTGACGGTGCTCAGGTTGCCCCCTGAGCGAAGTCGATCCTGGACTGTTCTGTCGTGAAGACGGTATTGGACTCGCAATGCCATCCCATGCAGAAAGGCAGTGACTGTTCCAAACCAGGTGCCTGCGCCGCTGACTCTGGCCACTTCCTCCCAGCAACCACTCGCGAACAGGGCCCGGCAGGTACGCACGCCTGCTTGAAACTGCACATCCATGTTGCGTCCTTCGAGCAACCTTCGCAGGTGGACGCTCGCTGCTCGATGAAGGTAGGTCACAGACGCTCCAAGTTTCTGCAACGCTTTGACATCCTCCTGCTTTGGCGGGTCAAAGAGATGACCCCAGGTGGCCGGCGGCAAGACTTTGGTTCGCCACAGGTCCCTCCGAACATCCAGTGCAATGCCTTTGAGTGATGACTGCCTCGGAACCTCAGAATTGACAGTGAAGTCGACTCCCAGGATGCGCACTTGGTCTTTACGCCAGGAACCCAGTCCATGCCGGTTGATTGCGTCAGCCGTGCTAGGCCGGCTGCAGATGATGGCCCGCTTACCATCATTCTCTTTAAGCCCTAGAACCGAAGACCACGAGCTCCAGACTCTAAGAACGCTCTAGTGACCGCGGCGGGCTCAACAGTGAAGGCCCTGTCGTCCAGAAAAATGCTTTGACGCAGCCCGCTACCGGAGCAGCTAGCCACATGCCTGCAAGGCGCCGAGAGCATGACATTGAGTGCTAGAGGCGCCAGCCCATCTCCTTGTGGAAGCGAAGAGTTGACCTGCTGGTTGTGCGATTGAACACAGCCGTTCAGCTCAAAAAACTGCTTTTGTTGCCATGTGTGCCGGAGCATATGTACGATTGCAGTTGGAAAGCCGGCTGCAGCTAACAAGTCACATGCCAACCTCGGGTCGACATTGTCAATGCATTTGGCGTAGTCCAGGCCGACTGCGGCATGGGGTCCCGTGATCCTTCCGAGGCCTTGATGAATGTGCCGCCGGTGAACCCCACCATAGTGGTCGGACGAGAGCACCTCCTCCTGCCAAGCCTGAACCTGCCTGCTACTTGCAACCGCAGAAGAAGCAACTCTCCACAGGATCGACATGACGACGATCGGCCTCAAGTCGGCCGCCGCAACTTCACCTGAGAAAGTTCCTCGGCCGGGACCTTAGGCGCTTGCACCTGTCGCACCTCCTGCCAAGCCTGTGAGTTGGAGTTACGAGCAGACCACCTGCACAACAACTCGGAGTATGCAGCCCACGCCTGTTCAGGCCAATGCTTGATCTCGTCGCTCCGCCAGCCATCAACCCCTGGCGCAGAGCAGGCCTTAGTCTGTGCAACTTTCTGGAGGGCCTCGGCGCTCCAGAGCAGGTGAGGCTGGAAACTGCACGGGTGTGAGCGGCCGTGTTTTCGCCACTGTTGCACGGCAGCACCTCTGGGCCTGTTCCAGATGCGCTGCCAGAAATCCTGGATGTGTTCCAGGCTCTCCGCCGTGGACAGTCCAGTGCCTGGAGCCTTAACGCCCCTGACGCGTCGTTGTTTGCCCTCCAGCCAGCGGGTGGCTTCCTTACTCCTTGCGGCCATCTGACGCTGCCAACGGTGGACCGCGGTCCTAGTAGCTGGCCTGAGCTGCGGAGATGGCCTCCCTGACAAGTGCCTCAGCTTCAGCGGGGGTTTGGGCAGTCTCACCGCAGCGCAGCTGTCGATCCAAGTGCTCTGGACACGGGCTCTGAGGGAGTCCACCTCAGCTCCTAAACGAACTTGGCGCTGCCATTCTCTGATCCTGCCTTGCAGCTTGAGCAAACGTCGCATGTGAAAGGGGTGGGCCTCATTCCCGCCTCGAAAGGTAGCACTGCCCGCAATAGTGCTGGAATGTGTGCCCTTCTGTCTGCGATGCGGAGGGTCGTGTATATGCGACCATACTGCTTGGTCGCCCAATGACAAGCTTGCTCAGCGGTATCACAGAACCACTTCCATTCAGACTCAGTGCATCCGGTATCTGCTGGAGTAGTCTGTTGTTGACAGTACTGAGCCTGCGCAGCGATGTAGCTTTGCGGTTCCACTCTCTCGGGTAGTCCGTAGAAGGTTGTGGGTCTCAAGACCCACAGGCATTCCCGCGGCCCACGGTCGACCTCAAGGACCACTCTGACAGGGAAGTGGTCGCTGAGCGTTTCAGCGGCACAGGTCGC